TTTGATACTTAATACCTTAATTACTCGTGCAAAAAGGAAATCCTTGTTCCTTTAAGGAAATGAGCTGGTGATGTGTTTTCTCCATTTGGATTCGAACTAAATCGTAAAATCCCCATTTTGCCTCAACAAACTCAATTATAACACACAAAATTTATATTTTCAGTTATAAAAAAGATTCTCAACCCAAAAACACCCCAAAAACATAGCAATCTTCAGAGAAATTATATAATACATCTGAATACATAAATTATATTAATTAAAAAAATATATGAATACATTCATGGAATACAACAAGACAGTGAATACAATGAAATACATGGAATACAGCGAGATACATTGAAATACAATGAAAAAAAGACAATAAATACAATGAAATAGATGGAAATACAGCGAGATACATTGAAATACATTGAAATATATTAACAGAAAATTCAAGTTGCTCAGCCCCAAACTCCGTCGTCTTCGTTCCTCTTTTTTTTTGCAGCTGTTGTTCGTTCCCTTTTCTTGGGGTGACTGCCAGGTAACAACCCAACGAGCCCACTCTACCATCTGATATACAAAAGAAGAGTGTTTGCAAGCGCCTTCTTTGTATCTCCAATGAGCAGCAAAATCATATTCAGCTTGCAAGTACATCTCCTTTGTCCAGATCTGAACTTCAAGAGGCACCATGCCTTCCCCCAGCACAACCTTATGAAGAGATTGGTACCTGAAAATTACACACGAATATTAGGGCAAACACTTGAAGAAAAGAAACTCATCTCAAATCTCTCATGCTTTTTACCCGTTGAATTTCGGATTTACTGTGTAGTCCTTGTATCTCCGCTATTATACAAAGCGTTGAGAGAGAGAGAGGGTGGAGAAAAATCTGAAAGAATGAGAGAGAAAAATAATACAAAGCGTATTTTATGGCTTAAGGGTAGGAGGTGACCATAAATAAATATTTTACTATAAAAATTAAAAGGTAACTATGAAATATAATTTTTTCAAAATAAATAAGGTATCAACTTTTGCTATAGGAAATAACTAATGTTTTTTTTTCCGTAAGAATAACAACAAATGTATCATGGTCATGTGGTAGATAACAAACTTAGGTGAATCACTGGGATTCTGAAAGGTACTGGACTTTTCAGGTAAGTGGCCTATGCTTGTTGAACAACTTTGTGGGCTGCTAGAAATGTGAGCCCACAATACTTTGTCGAATATGGGATTAGCCATTCGTGTCTCGAGATTGGGAGAAATTCAAAAATAGTCAGATTTACAAGTGGCCATTTAAAAATAGTCATAGTTTCAAAAGTCATCGAAATTTAGTCATTTTTTATGTAAAGATAAATCTGAACGAAACACTGTTTAAAATCCGGAAAATACTCCAGCATAATATACTGGAACTCCAGTATATTATACTGGAGCCAGCAAAATATACTGGTCCAGCATAATATGTTGGAAGTTCATGGACAGGTGCATCGAACTCCAGTATATTATGCTGGACCGGTCTCTGTTGCAACAAAATAGTAGCTATTTTTCAATGACTTGGCAAATACTGGCTATTTTTGAATGACCAGTCCAAAAACTGACTATCCCGTGTTATTTTAACCTCAAAATTACCATCCAAAACAGACCATTTGGTTGGTATTAGTTTCATTTATTATCCTGAACATTAGTTTGGGGTTTACTTGTGTCACTTATTTGAGATGATCAATTTTGTTAAATCACTTCCATTTTTGCGGTTCACAAAGATTTGACCTCCATCTGTCCTTTGCTCTCTTCCCCCCTCCCCCCCCCCCTCCAAACAAGAATAAGTCTTTTTTATGGGACATGGATATGTGCAGAGATAAGTGAAGAAATTAAATAGCTTTTCTTGTGGGATTGGGGAGGGTAGAAATTGATAAATTGGACAGTGAAAGTGAACTCAAAAAAACTTACACGTGTTGCGGAAGAAACAACCGTGAAATGAAAAAGAAATACGTACTAAAAACGAGTCAATTATTCATATAATTACTCAATTATCTCATAAAGTCACTTTTCTTTCGTTTGTAACAACAAAGTCAATGAACTATGTCTATTGCACTCAGAAGGTCACTCAATTAGATTTTTCAAAATTTGGATTGCCAAATACCTAATTTACCCTCTAAATTATAAATAATTATCTCTTTTATTTTTCTTAAACTTTTTAATATTATGATTTTTCCTTTTTAATTTATATTATGGACTTACCTATAGAATCAATAAATATTATTTATAAATTAAAAAAATAAAAAGTATTTAAGCATCTATGATACTGGAATAACAACATAATGAGCACAGTAAAAAAAAATTAATTATAATTTGTTCGTAATAATAATTTTAGTATTAACAACAAAAATTCAAAAATTTATTTACACAATTCAGAATGAAATAAAATAAAAGTTGTAAAATATATATTCCATGCACGTACTATAAAAATAATTATTTAAATAAAAGTAGTATTATAATATACATTATATATTCTTGAAAATTATGCTCAATTATATTATATATATTTCTTGCACGACTTAACATAACATATTTTACCCTATATAGATAGTTCCCCTGCTTCCCGGTGACATAATTTTGTGTCGTCGAAAAGTTGGTAGAAACATAATAATATAATTGAGAAGAATTTTCAAGAATATATAATGTATATTATAAAAATAAATTTATTTAAATAATTATTTTTTTATATTACGTGCATGAAATATATATTTTACAACCTTTATTTTCTTTCATTCTGAATTGTATAGATCTATTTTGAAGTTTTGTTGTTAATACTAAAATTATTATTACTAATAAATTATTCTAATTAATTTTTATACAATGCTCATTATTTTGTTATTCCAGCATTATATATGCTTAAATACTTTTTATTTTTTTAATTTATAAATAATACTTATTTACTCTATAGGTAAGTCCATAATATAAATTAAAAAGGGAAAAATCATAATATTAAAAAGTTTATAAAAAAATAAAAAGAAGATAAATGTTTATAATTTAGAGGGTAAAACAGGTATTTGGCAATCCAAAATTTGAAAAATCTGGTTTAGTGACCTTCTGAATGCAATAGGCATAGTTCAGTGACTTTGTTGTTACAAACGAAAGTAAAGTGACTTTAGGAGATAATTTTGGATAGTTGAGTGACCATTTGAGTAATAGACTCTACTAAAAACTACACTTGTTATGTGATAGACTCGCGCCGACGTGTTGAAATGAAAGCTCTTTTTTGTTTCTCAATCATGAGTTTTATTTTCGGGTCCGATTAATTTGGTTATAGGAAATTTCACTTTGAAGGTAAAATATTTTTCATCAAAAACGATTTCATATCTAAAGTTTAAACTCAAAATTTCTAGTTAAAATGGTGGAATATTTATTATTCTATCACAACTTTCGAAGAAATAAATGCTCATCATTTTAGGGGTTAAGAATTTGATATATATACTACTCCCTCCGTTCACTTTTACTTGACACGTTTTGACCTTTTACGCCCCTTAAGAAATAATAAATGAAGTGCATAATTTATCATGATAACCATATTAATTGATGCATATTTTATTAAATTTGAGAAAATGATTTGAAATTAGTAATAAATACTATGGGTATAACAGGAAATCAAAAAGTTGTCTTTTCTTGATATGTGTAAGTGACAAATAAAAATGAAAATCTATTTTTAGTATACCTGCCAAGTAAAAGTGAACGGAGGGAGTAATTCTGTTTTTGTTATCATTGGAAATTGGAATGACCATCTAACAAGGGATAATTGTTGATTTCTCCGTTAATTGAAATTAAAATAAATTTAAATAGCAACAAGAAATAATTGGATAAACACGCTTGAACGTTATCTTTGTATACGGGTGAAACCGGGCCTATGGAACACCCCGGTTTCCGATAAGGTAAATCGAGCAAGAGACGTAATGACAGGGAACTGGAATCGAGGCAAGGGTCTCATCGAGCCAGGGCCTGGAGGCATGACGCCCACCCTCGAGAATATCGGGGTTGTGATTCGGCAACGGTCCAAATCCCAAAAGACTTCGGAGAACGTTGTCGGGCAACTGAGCATGATTAACAGAAGGTCGTGATATCTGTGACCTGCCGTATATCTCGGCGCGGATCTCGGCATGTACTGGTGGAAATCCCATGATTAGTTAAACTAAAGATTTTTACCTTTTATGAAATTGTACCTAGGGTAGGACTCCTCTACTATATAAAAGGGGTCTGATTATTCATTAACAAGATTGTAACACGCATATCAAGGCAATATACTATTATTTTTCTCTTTTATTCAAAGTTCTTGCATTTGTTGATCAGTTTTTCTTTATTATACGTCTGGGACCGAGGACGGATATTTCATTAAGGTTGTCGTCGAGTCCAGAATCACTCTCCCTTTTGAGTGGTTTGATAATTTATTACATCTTTTACTTGTTTAATTTAGCGATATTTACCGTTTGTATTGAATTAATCCACGTATCCTTAAAACCACATATAAATTTAGTAGTTATCTATTTTTTAGGGTATACAGTTTGGCACCCACCGTGAGGCTAAGGATAATAGTGGAAATTTGATACAAATTTCCATAACGCACCCTATTTTACACTTGTTCTTTCAAGTTTAAAATGTTGAACTCCCAATCTGCCCCTTTGAACGTGGATGCTGAGTCTGGCCACCATGGCGAGAAAAACAATGTGGTATCCGGTAACGAGGGAGTTCCACTACTAGAAAATGGGCCCATGGCAACAGTTTTTTTTGCGACGGTTAAAAAAACGTTGCCATAGAATGGATATTGGAACGGTTGCAACTGTTACAGTAGCATTGGAACGATATCAGCACGCTTTAGCTATTAAACCGTTCTTATTACAAAATAACCGTTGCCATAGGTTTTTTTTGCCTACCAGTTTTGTGAACCGTACCAATAAATTTGTTTACGGGAACGGATTTTAATAAAAGTTTCTACTGGAACGGGTTTTTTTCCCTCCTCATTTTTTCCCATGAATTTTTCTAAACCCGCCAAGACTATCACTATCTATCTTATTTCTGATAAATTTTGTTAATTAATGTAAATTAAATAACAAAAACATTCCACTATCGACATCTCCAAGCCTATCTTCCAATAAACCCTTTCATCTCCCCATAGAACTCAAAGGCATCGACACCTCCAAAGCTCTCAATACCTTTCACCTTGAGAATTCCATCTATGGCTAACTCTAAATCCCCATATCCCCAAATCAAATCGTTGGCCTAACCCAATATCCCCAAATCTAAGTGTCGATCATATTTTGTTATTCGAAGAAGAGAAGGCATCAAAGAGAACAAAGGAAAAATCTAAAAGACACGATTAAAGGTGAGAAAACTACTTCAATCGCGAGAAAGTTTCGACCCAAAAGGCACTATGTGAGAAACTAACTTCAGGTGCAAGTTTTTCTTTTCTAATTTGGTTAATTTCTTCTTTAATACTTAGGATGTGAGCAATGTATTTGATTTCTTGCTTTGACTGTAATATTATTCAAGAAAAGAGGAAAAGGAAGCCCCCCGGTAGACTTTGTGTATTACTTATTTTCTGGGTTATTTTTGAAGGAGCAAAAATAGATTTTATGTTTCTATTTTGTGTATCTAGTTTAGTTTTTACTAATTTTAGGTGTTTAGTTTTTAGTTTTTGTTTTGTAGGAAAATATTGGGGAGGAGGGGGTAGGGTTTGGTGGTCGTTGAAGAAATTATGAGAGATTTGGGATCCTTTTGTTCGGTTGTTGAGGCTCGATCCTTCTCCAACATCCTCTTCTGGCTCAGCTGTGCTACATTTTGAGGTATAATATCAAATTTGTGATCCAACCATGCTACATTATTGATTATGTTTTCTTTATTCTGTATAAATTAATATCTGAAAGCATAGTCATTGCTGTTATGACTAGTCCAATACCCATCCTTTGAAGTTCAGTTAGCCCGGTGTTATCAAATTGCCTTTTTAAATTGCCATAGTTGCCAGAGTAGAGTTACCATGGAGTCACTTGATCAACATGAACATTGCCATGGATTGTGGGTGAATGTGTTGTCTAATAAGCCACGTGACATGATATATCTATAACCCTAATCATATCTTTTGTTTCCTACTGAACTTGCGCATGTTTACATTATCCAATCAAGGCATGAGCTAGCAGTATCTCTAGGTTTGCTTATTATCTTTTCTCTTCAATGGTTGGCAGATGTACCTACACTAAAAGCTTTTAGCTAGGTCACCCTGTTAAAAGTGCAAGTAACAATGTTGAGAAATGAACTCAATCTAGATTAGAAATAGCAACATAATATTTTTAGGTAATTTCCTTTCCTTGAATTACTCATTCTGTTTGTTTTATCCACTTAGTGTTTTGTTTACCTAATACAAAGCTAGAAGAAGTCAATGACCCATTCCTGAGATTGGTTACACCTACCTTGATCAATTAAGCAAGTAACGTGCCCGGTCTATAGGTCAGTGGTTGCGTCCATTTGGTTACCTTCCTGTATACTTGAACCACAAAAGTACTCCAATCACAGTGTTGCGTGTTTTCAAAGGCATCTCTTGTTGGAAGGGATTGGAACAATGAGAATAAGCATACGCTCTTGGAGAAATCTACTGAAGTGTAGTCTTTCTGCAGCGTTCACGTGATGATATTTTAAGAAGAGTAGTACAACAAGCAAATGGTATCTGTGGGTTTGGAAAAATGGTGGTTGGTGATAGTTAAATGCATCATCTATTTGCACTTTTAGTTATTTAGGTGAACTCATTGACTCTAAGCTGGTTTGGTTGGGTAAAGATGTATTCTCTTGTATTTTATTGTGTTAGTAGTACCCAAAAAGTAAGTTAATACCTTCTTTTGTGGTTAAAGTTCATAGTTGACGACTTCTGTTTTAATTGCATTTAGATTTGTGATATTCAACTGAAGAGGTCTAGCTTTAATGTTCTTTGGATAATAGGTCCGGCTGGGAATAATTTAGCAAATATTTTCAATCAATTTCTAATATTACCAAGATATCGGTAACTTAATTTTGGTTATAATTGGATTTACTCAGCGGGTTGTGCATGTTACATAGGCTCGCGCAGTCACTGGATTAAATGAACTTTAGTAGACTTCAGTATGCTAGGAGATATTTGAAATGAGCATGCTTGCAAGGCTAAAGCTTTTCCTTTGTAACTTCTTATTTTGCTTGTTTATAGTATCAGTGTTTCATTTGTTATCTTTTTTGTATTCTTCTTTTTTGGTTGTATTGTACAATTTATTAGCTGGTTATCACCAGATAATTAGTTGACTGAAAACTGCTTTAGTTTTTCACTGTATCAAATGAATTCTTCACTATGATTTTCACTTTTGCAGTTTCTTGACCTTAATACACCAAAATTGCTGTTGTTTCCAGATCTTTCCAATCTTTAAATGAAGGAAGCACTGATGACATGTCTTAATTAGTGAGGTTGTGAGAATATTTGGGGGCGGAGATGAAGCTAGCTGCTCTGTTGACTTCTGCTGGTGTCAATACTGCAGTGTGCGTAGTGCTGTTCTCCTTGTATTCGGTTTTAAGGAAACAACCGAGGTTTGTAAATGTTTACTTTGGCGCGAAGATTGCTCAAGTACGAGCAAGACAACAGGATGCCTTTCGCTTTGATAGATTTGTTCCTTATCCAAGTTGGATCCTTAAGGCACGGGAGACTTCTGATGAAAAAATATGTGTTACTGGGGGATTGGATGCAGTAGTATTTGTGCGGATGATTGTTTTCAGGTGAAATTGGAATTTTCAGCACTTTATTAGTTGTTAGATTTTCTAGTGTTCAAGAAAAGTCAATTTAACTTCTGATACTAATTTTAATGAATTAGTCTAAATTAGCTTCTACCCAGTGAATCTATTTGATCGATTTGCTAGAGTTGTCAAGATTAGTTTCCTCAATTTGCTGCTGCCCAGATTTAAAAGCTGTTGTTGCTCGATCATTAACAGCTGAAACAGTGCGCTTTGTTTGTGTTGCTGCTGCTCGTGGAAAGCATTAGTTGCCCTAATTCACCTCCGTAATCCCCACATGACTCCATTGATTGTGATGGAACTTCATACACGGATGTTCCAACACCC